AACTAGTTAGTAGTAGAGATACCCCACCCCCCCCACCCACACCCACCCCCCAACCCACACACACACAACAAAAAAAAAAAAGGATACATGAGAGAATGATGTACCAAAGAGAAATTTTTATTATTTTACAGATAGCTCTACTGATTTCTTCTTCTCATGCACAAAACACAGCAGCCTTTAGATAAGCCAGTTCCAAATGCAACATTACAAGTCACGGGTGCTGTTGGTTGGCGCAGGGAGGGTCTTGTTTATAAGAAGAATGAGGTGGTTTTCTCTGTTTGCTTCTTGAATGTTTTCTTTTGTCCTCTTGTCTGCTCGATTTCTGAAATTAATTAGGGTTTATATGTTTGACAGGTGTTTCTGGATATCGTGGAAAGTGTTAATCTGCTTATGTCTTCAAAAGGTATAAAGGTCTTGTGTGTTTTGTTGGATGCTTTTTTGTTTTCAGTTTTACACTAACATGACAATTATAGGTAGTGTGCTCCGTTGTGATGTAACTGGGAAAGTTCTCATGAAATGCTTCCTTTCTGGAATGCCTGATTTGAAGTTGGGGTTAAATGATAAAATTGGCCTTGAGAAAGAGTCACAGCTTAAATCCCGTCCAACTAAGAGGTAGCTTCTGAATACTTGTGTCTCATTCACAGAAATTATGTCTTCGGAATTTGCTTCTTCAGCTACTTGTTTCAGTAGAGTTCACTTAAGTAGTTTTCAAATTAGGTTACTGTGTACACTTTCCATTGGTTTTGTGAAGAAAGTTGAAGATTTTAATTCGTCAGAAACTAGATTTCCTCAAAAAGGAAATAACAAATTGACGTATTTTTTTCTCATTGAATCTAATTAGAACATCAATGTTATGCTCAATAAGGAAACAGGGATGGGTTGTTCAAGAGAATTAGAACGAATTTTCTGGATGTGGAAGGTTCATGAAACTCTCCCACTGACACAATTTTTTTTTTTTTTTTGGGGCTGAAGGTTAAGATTTTATTAACGGAAAAGGGCTAAATATACCCCTCTACTTTCAAATATTGTTTACCTGTACCCCTCGTTATACTATTGGGCTATCTATACCCCTACCGTCATACTATTGGGTTATCTATACCCCTACCATCATACTATTGGGTTATCTATACCCCTACTGGCATACTTTGAAACAAAAATACCCCTATTTTGAATGGAGTGCCACGTGGCAACACCAGATTAAAACGATCATTTTCTTTTTTTACCCGACCCGTTTTTAAAAAAACCCACAACCCGACCCCTATTTTCAATTTTTTCCAGTTTTTTTTTTAAAATTTTTAGTTTTTAAAAAACGAAAATATTTTGTTAAAAAACAAAATATATTCTTTTTTCTGTTTTTACAATTTTTTTTTCCAGTTTTTACAAAACAAAATTCTTTTAAAAAACTGAAAAAATGAAAAAAAATATTTTTCAAAAACGAAAATATATTTTTCCTGTTTTTACAAAAAAAATTCAGATTATACAAATTTGTTTTTTCAGTTTTTACAAAAAGAAAATCTTTAAAAAAACTAAAAAAATGAAAAAAAACATTTTTTCAAAAACGAACATATTTTGTTTTAAATATATTTTTCAGTTTTTAAAAAACGAAAATATTTTGTTAAAAACTGGAAAAAAAAAATTCTGTTTTTACAATTTTTTTCAGTTTTTACAAATATGTTTTTACAGTTTTTACAAAAAAAAATTTTTTGTTAAAAAAATGATTTTTTTCAGTTTTTACAATTTGTTTTGCAAAATCTTTTCAGTATCTGCACAGTTTAAAAACACGAAAATATTTTGCAATTTTTTTTAAGTTTACAAAAAGAAAATTCTTTAAAAAAACTGAAAATGAAAATATGGTTCGGGTTGTGTGTTTTTTGTAAAACGGGTTGGGTAAAAAAAAAAGAAATGGGTCATTTTAATCTGGTGCTGCCACGTGGCACTCCATCCAAAATAGGGGTATTTTTGTTCCAAAGTATGACGGTAGGGGTATGGATAGCCCAATAGTATAACGAAGGGTACAGGTAAACAATATTTGAAAGTAGAGGGGTATATTTGGCCCTTTGCCGTTTTATTAATTAAGTACCACGAAGTACATATAAGAGTACATCAGAAGATAGGTCTTCCTTCGATATATTGAGGAATTCAACCGATCCAACAAAGAGGCTATGTTAGATACAACATTCTTCTTACACCAATAAAGACTCTTACTACATCTAGATTTTACATTTGCAATGTCATCGATCTTATTATTACAAAATCTATTTTTCGTCTCTAGCCAAGTATTCCAGAAAATGCAACTAGCTGCATTCCGATAGTGCTTGCTTCCCCTAGCAAATGGCTGTGCATACCAGCTGCATAAAGTAAGTTTTATACTTCCTGAAGAAGCCCATTGGACGCCAAAAATGCTCAGGAACACCGACCAAATTTTCTTGGTGAAACTGCAGTGGAGAAGTAGATGATTCATTGATTCATTAGCCTCTTCATCTAGAAAGCATCTATTGCACATATTACTTCATTAAAACAAAGCATCTATTGCACATAGGGAGACCCCTTTTCTGTAGATTATCCTGGGTTAAACAAGCTTCATGAGTGACTTCCAGATTATTTTCCCATGCTTCATGAGTGACTTCCAGATTATCTTCCATGGCCAACAAGTTCATGGATTCTAGCCATTTGTCTTGAACGGGCTTTTATGACATGCCTTGACAGTAAAGTTGCCATCTTACTTAACCTTCCACAACAAAGAATCACCGCCTGATCATCAAGAGAAACAGGTTCCAGCTTTTGAATTAAGTCATTTATGCAATCAAACTCCTAGTCATACAAGTCCCTTCCTAAATGAATGTTGCATCCCCCTATGGATAGCAATCATTCACAGTATGATTCTTGTTAGAAATGATTGCATAAAGATCTGGAAATTTCTCCACTAGAGGAGTGTCGTCCAGCCACCTATCTGACCCTGTTCAACATTGCGTCTGATGATAAATGTTAATTGTGAGACCAAAAGACGGATCTTTAGGTGATGTGTACATTATGTGGCCTATACTGGATGTTATGGGATGATCTGGAATATCTAAAGAAAAATCATACATGCTTCTTATACCATTAATGAAATGTAAAGTTTTAATATATGTATTTCACCATCCCTAAGGTACAAAACATACAGATGGTAATAGTAATTGCCTAAGAAGTTGGCCTGGGACCATAAATAAGATTTACCTGATGACATAATATGAAAGTAACAGAACATCGGTTTCTAGTGCTTCCAAGCATGTTTTCGTAATTTTCAAAATGTTTATCTTCGATGTGCCATATCAGTTACCTCTGTAACTAAAACAGTAAAATATGCCCTTAAATGTTGGACAAAAGAGCACAACGTAGTACTTCAGTTCTTCCTTTTTCTGCAGAGTTCAAGGCTTACTTTCTAGTCTCTTCAAACATGTTAGTATGTAGCTTTCTCAGTTTGGCCTTCATGTTAGTTTCAGCCGCTATATGGTACCATTTTGTGTTGCTTACCAGCATGATGCATTACTCTGCTTCTCTGTGCAGCGGAAAAACTATTGAGCTCGATGATGTTACTTTCCACCAATGTGTAAATTTGACAAGATTCAATTCAGAAAAGACTGTCAGCTTCGTACCACCAGATGGTGAATTTGAACTGATGAAGTAAGTTCATACTTATTTCTGTACATGGTTGTTTTTAGGCTCTGTTTTTATTATCTTCTCAAGATGGAAGGCGGAGTCTGTGGCTCTTCATTTATCCTTGTAGAACAATGCTAAATATCCTTGGATATTTTGCTGATGTCACAGTGAGTGATAATTTACCTTTAACATTTTAATATCAAGTTTGAGTAAGCATTAGAAATTATCGACTTTTGAGTATTTGTCCTTTGAATTAGTATGCAATAGCGGGGTTGGAAGTTTACTACAATCAGGTGGAATCACAGAGTATTCTGATCATGCTTCCGAGATATCGAGTTTCTGCTTCCTCGTTCCATCTGCGCATTCTATTTCCCTTCTCCAGACATCTCGAACTTTACTTTACTTCTAACAAAGATGATCATTTATACACCATTATTCACAAGTTTTTAATTTTAAATCTAAACTACGTTGTGCTCTTTTGTCCGTGAAGTACTTAACACAGAATTGAACGTAACCATAACCAAATTAATAGGAAAGCAAAACTAATGTGTACATATAATATTTAATTGCCCCTGTAATCGGTTTTCTAAATTTTCGTAGATTAGAATTTGTACATCTTATTGTATATAAAGATAATTGTGATGCTTCGTATTTTGTTGAACAGAATGTCCCAATAAATCAAAAGTATCTAGTTTCACCTCCCTTTTTTGATGAAATTTTTATATTTTTCCACTTATATGTGATGATGTGTATGTTCCACACTCTAAAGGAAATTTAATAGTTTATATATTGAAAGCTTGAATAGTCTAAAGGTTACTCTGCCTGAAACTATTGAACGAATTCGGAAATCTAAATTTACTTGTGTCCTCTGTAATGTAATGGAGCAAGTCCTAATGTTTGTGAAATATATGTGTGTGTGTGTGTGTTTCATTGCTCGGATGTGTTGATGTTTTGTTGCCCAAATATTGGCCACTTGGTTTAAGGAAAATGGCAGTTAATTTTATACACATATACAGGCATACCTTTCCATACCAGTGCCTGGATATGTAATTTTACAAATTCTTTTTTTTTTCTCCTCAGGTACCGGATTACTGAAGGAGTAAATCTTCCTTTCCGCGTATTGCCTACAATCAAGGAATTAGGTCGTACACGAATGGAAGTGAATGTTAAGGTTTGTCGCTCTTGTTTCAATATAGAATGGAATTCAATTTGAAACATTGTGTCATGTTGATATTATTTATAATTTGCTAATAGGATTTATATTTTTTCAGGTTAAGAGCGTGTTTGGTGCGAAAATGTTTGCTCTTGGAGTTGTCATTAAAATTCCGGTGCCAAAGCAAACTGCAAAAGCAAGCTTCCAGGTGACATCAGGGAGAGCAAAGTACAATCCATCCATTGACAGTTTGGTCTGGAAGTGAGTACGCAGTGGTTTTATCTTGTTTGGCATAATCCTAAAGCTCTATTGGACATTATTCTTAAAGACAATGATACACTTTATGCATTAGGACCTCAGCTGCATGTGAATTGAACTTCTAATATCTACTCATTGGCTTAGCTAATCCTTATATATTATTTGGATTTAATTTAGTAATTAAGTATTTGATTGAAATGCAGCCTTGCTTGATTGGGATTTGATGAAACCCTGCCTCTTTATCAGTTACAAAAAATTAAAGTGTAGAATAATGGAGGGTATATTGAAGTGCCTTTATGGCCCTTATATCAACAATCCAATGTCAGGATAAGACATCTGCTTGCTTTCTACCATATACAACAATAACGTACCCAGTGTAATCCCACAAGTGGGGTCTGTGGAGGGTAGTGTGTACGCAGACCTTACTCCTACCTTGTGCAGGTAGAGATGCTGTTTTAGATAGACCCTCGTCTCAGCATTGTAAATGAGGGACGACTCCTTTTACCATACATCAGATGTTATAGATGGACACCTGCTTGCTTAAATGCTTGAATGAGTGGACTAAATTTAGCACTTCCTTCGATTCCTATAGATATGATCTACAGATGCCTTAGCCTTAACTTTTACCAATTGAGCTGGTGCTTACGGAGTCGCAGCCAATTTCACTATCTGAATCGTACTCAACAGCCAGAAGATTTGTAATCCCATCTGTAAATCTCTCATAGACCAAGGCAGAGATTCGGACTCAGCTATCATGTGGTCCATTATCAAGATGATGTATCAAATGCAATTTTTAAAATTTCTTTCATCCCTTCACTTGTGAGTCCTTTCTTTTTTTACTATGGCATTTGCTGCCATTAGTCAATGAACGAAGATATTTTCTGTCCAATTTTATAAATGTTTTCTCAAAAAGTCTGTTGAAATTTTTTCACCATATTCTTGTTACTAAACTGACAGCGTTATAAAAGAGAAGAATGCGTGCTTCAGAGTGGTCCATTTTGTTCAAACTGGAGACAATTGAAATCTTTTGTCTGTGGATGGAAATGTTTAGCTTAGAGTGTGCCGTGCAGTATGTTGTGCAGTTATGTGTTATTTATGTCTGCAAGTGCATGATTGCTTGCTCATAGATTCTTTCCTTTCAACAAGTAGAATTGCATACACTTCATCTAAGCAAATTTATTTGTGCTTGAAAGTCAAAAAGCAGATGTTCTCTACCTTGTGGCTTCTAAACGGAATATCCTAGTTCTTCAAGGTATCATAATCCAGTAAAAGGTGGATTGTTGATTAGTTCTTGTTTTTATATAGTAGCGAGTAGCTTAATTGCTCATTTTGTGTGACAAATTTGTTTTTCTTTTTCCTTTTCCCTTTCAGTTTCTCCCTTTTATCGTTTATATTGTAATGTATCCCTAATTTCAGTTTCTCGATCGTACAATGGCAGAGATATGGAGTACATGCAAATGTTCTCTTCCGTTTTGCCACTGATCCAAGATATTATTGTGAACACTATTTACTTGTGCATTGACTTTTTTATTTATTCTTTAAAAGGATACCAGCTATACTTTCTACCTTCATCTGCAATAAATTTAGTTTCTAGTGGATCGAATCTTCAATATGGGTTTCTTGTTGCAGGATTAGAAAATTTCCTGGTCAAACTGAGTCAACATTGAGTGCTGAAGTGGAGTTGATTTCAACAATAGCAGAGAAGAAGTCCTGGACTAGGCCACCAATTCAGATGGAATTCCAGGTGCCTGATGTTTTCTTTTGGGTGGGGGGTTGGGGTGGGGAGGTGGGGGGGGGGGGTGCAACTATATTCACATGGTTGATGATGGGATGTATTCCTCGCATCAATGGTTGTCGTTTTCGGAGAGCAGGGGGCCTGAAAGTGTAGAATTTTGGAATTAGATGCAAATGGCCTTGCCTAATGCTTAAAAAACATTTTCAAAGAACAATTAAGAGTATAAGACTGCTATTAAATGTTGTACATTATCATCGTCACTATAATTGCTACTGGATACTTTCTTGCGACAAAAGTTGGAGGATTTGGGTATCTAGCCCTGTGGAAATGTTATACTAGCCAAGCTTACTGGCTGATTGAAGGAAAGTACCTTCACTTGGTAAGAAGGGAAGGGAAAATAAATGAAGGAAATGGTGAGCTAATTTCATTTTATTTCTTTGTTTGGATTGAAAAGATAGTGGGAGGGAAGAAAAATGTAGAAGCTTTTCTTCTCATTAACCAAGTTGGACTAAGAGATATTTGACACTGTTCTACATTTAATTTTCTTCTAGTTGCTCTTTGCTAGAAAGATAAATGTTGTACCTTACTTTTTCTTTCCGTTTTTTCCATCTTCCAATCGAGGGCGAGTAAATTATTACGAATAGAAGTGGTAGTGCAGTTTGACTCATTATTAAGAGGGAGCTTTATGGGCACTCGTGTCTTTTCTGACCAAAATCAGCATAACAATAAGAAAATGTAGGTTTGTATAGCAGGATCCAATTCACAGTCACTTATGGCACTGATTAGGATTATTTAACCTCTGAAATTTGTTGGGTTTCTATATTTCTGTCATGGTTAAACTATTGGTTGCAGATGAATGACCCATTCCTTATTCATTGCAGGTTCCCATGTTTACAGCGTCTGGATTGCGAGTACGTTTCCTCAAGGTATGCTTGCCAAACTTGCAATTAACTTGGGATGTTTTTTTGGGTTGAGATGCTGCTTCACCTAGTAACTGTCTGCAGGTATGGGAAAAGAGTGGTTACAACACAGTTGAATGGGTTCGCTATATCACAAAAGCTGGCTCTTATGAGATTAGGTGCTGAATAAAATAGGTAAGCTGATCTAGTTTAAAGGATCAGAATTATGGAAGTCCAAGATATAGTGGCACCATTTTGCTATGCTGGAAATGCAACTTATGCATCTATTATGAGGGCTTTTAAACACGGTTTGTCTATAGTATATTTGGTGTTTGAAATTTATTATTTTGTTGTACAGGTTAGTTCTTTACGAGGACTAAGAAAAGGTTTCATTTCCATTCTATTTGTATATTTGACATATGCTCCCTTAAGAAAATATTTCTTTTCCTCTTTTGATCAATGGAGTGATGAAAACCATCGGAGATAGGTAATTTCTTTATGTGCCTAAAACTTGGTGGGCAGAGTTGTCTAGTACCTGTGATGGTGGAAGATAGCAGTTACTCAACATTCATGTGCGCACAAGTGGGACTGAACATCATAGTTATAAAGGAAGTACCTTTTTCTTCTGTACGGAAAAGATGAATTGCTTGAATGGATTTGAATCTGGTGTTTGTTACTTGTTATTCACCACAATTTCTTTCAAACAATTCAAATTCAATGGTTTTTGGCGTCAATAAGATGCGGGATGATTGATGGGAGTATATTTACCTGTAGAAACCTACACATTCTGAATAAGATATATGTGGAAGTTATATGTATCCTTTTGTCTTTCAAAATAAATTAGAAAGGAAAGAAAAAAAATATCTCAGAAGTGCTGAAATAGATTCATGTAATTATGGTATAGGAGAGTGCTAGAGTATATTACCAAAAAAAAAAAAATCTCTTAACAAAGGAAATTGAATGATTTTTTATTTATGCCGACGAACATGACTATTCAATTACATTACATTATTGACTGAGACAATTTTAATATGCAGTTGTTGCTTCAAGTAAATATTAGTAGTTGCATATCATAAATGTTTTAGTAGTTCCATGGTGTATATATAAAGCAATACGCTAATCACCCCCCCAAAAAAAGGAATAGGAAAGGAAAGGGTTTATTACGGGAGTCACCCATATGATTCTGAGTTTTTTACTATTAGAAAATCCTCATGTTCTAAATTTTGGTTAACCCACGTCATTTTCCTACTTCCTACGTCATCATACCAACCAATAGTCCGTTTGGCCAAGTTGCAAAAATCAGCTTTGTAGGCATATAAATTTTATTAAAATTAAATCCAAGAAATAATTTGGACTTATTTTAAATTCAAGATATATTAGTCCAATAAATACTACGGGCTAATATAATTGAATTTATTATATAAGTCCAATATATATGGATTAATAAATAAGTCTTAATCCATTAGGCTAGCCCATTTATTTGGGCTAAAGTGATGAGCCCACTTCATTAGGCCCAAGATGTCATCTTCCTAGAGGCATAGTTTGGTGCCACGTATCAAATGACGTGGCGCGCCAAGTCAAGCGGAAGAGCCAATAGGACCATGCCACGTGTCAAAATGACAAGGCATGCCCGGTCACACTGAAAGGCCAATGAATCGTGCCATGTGTGCAAGTGACATGTTCTGGCCAATCAAATGCGGCCATGTCACACTTCAATTTGATTGGTCGAAAAGAGTTTGTTCTTATCAAAATTCCTCCCTTCCACAATTATAAATAGAGGTCTTCATAACTCAGAAAAGACACCAGAAGTTATAACAAGAAGTAAGAAAGAGCTCGTGGATCAAACACTGCAAATTCCTCCACAAGTTTCAAGCTTCAAGCAATCAAGTTCAAGTTCAAGCAATCAAGTTCAAGTTCAAGCTTCAAGTTCAAGTTCAAGCTCAAGAACGAAGAACAAATCAAGGTCAAGTTCAAGCAATCAAGCTAAAGCTCAAGAACAAGATCATTGTTCATGGAAACAACTACATTTCAAGATCAAGCTCAAAGGCCCTTGAATTTATTTACTGTTGAAAAGAAGAATCAGAGGATTCATAGAGATTGTACACTCAAATATTTGAAATAAAATACTACGATTGTTGCGATATTTTTCGGTCTTGATTTTATTTTCTTGACGCAAATTTATTGTCTACAAATTCTGGCACGCCCAGTGGGACAATCTCTACCTCTCATTTCAACTTTTCAATCACCAAAGTCCAAGAACATTGAAATGGCTTCAAATAAAATCAACTCCGGTTCAACTTCCACCAAGGCTGCTAACTCCAGGTTCTATGCTAATGTGGAAAGCATCCTCGATGTTACCTTCGGAAGCTTCGGACCAGTTACGAGGAGCAAAGCAAGCTCTTTAGGATAACAAGCACCCCAAGTGCCGTCCGCGTCAACCCCTGTTTTCGGATCTTCATCCTCAAAAGGAGCAAGATCTTCCACAAACGCATCTGAAGGAGGAAGTGATGTTGCTGAAAGATCAAGAAAACTCTTGCTCTGCTTGACCTCTCCGGATCCAAGCACTCTGCTCTGAAGGAAGATGATGATGATTTAAGTGATGGATCCTCCCCACTTACACCACATAGCGTGACCCAATCAAGGATCAATCTATGTGAAAATCCATGCTACTCTCCGTCGTCCACGACAATCATGCAAGCCATGGTAACAAACACTTCATCTATGGAGGAGCAGTTGGCAAACTTGACGGAAGCAATCGCTGGCTTGACCAAATGTATGCAAAATCAAGAGGCTAGAATTGACAAGCTAACAGACAGGGTGGGAATCTTGATGGAAGAAGAATCCACCCATGCACCCGGCAAGTTCCCAGAGGTTCTAGAGAGTGACTCTCCCCCAAGACAAGCAGCATCCACTAAGGCTATCCCTATCTCATCTGAAGGGATGATTCCAATCGATCAATTGAAGGAGTTCATTGAAGGAACCATTAAGAACAAATATGAAGTCGCTGCCAAATCCTCCCTTACATATGCAAAGCCGTACACTGCAAGGGTCCTGGCTATCAACCTCCGAAGTTTCAACAGTTTGATGGTAAAGGTAACCCAAAACAACATGTTGCGCACTTCGTGGAGACGTGCAACAATGCTGGGACTTATGGAGATTACCTCATCAAGCAGTTTGTGCGCTCGCTAAAAGGAAATGCTTTTGACTGGTACACGGACCTCGAGGCTGGATCTATCGATAGTTGGGATCAACTAGAGCAAGAGTTCCTCAATCGCTTTTATAGTACGAGACGTACTACGAGTATGATAGGACTTACAAATACTCGTCAACGAAAGGGGAAACCAGTTATCGACTTTATCAATCGGTGGAGGAATGCAAGCCTCAACTGCAAAGATAGGATTAGTGAAGCTTCAGGCATAGAGATGTGCATCCAAGGCATGCATTGGGGATTGCGCTACATCTTGCAAGGTATCAAGCCTGGCACGTTTGAAGAACTTGCAACTCGTGCCCATGACATGGAATTGAGCATGGCCTCCGCTGGAAATGAAAGGCTGCCCATCTATGAACCTCGCAAAGGGAATGACAAGCAAGAAGTCAGGAAGTGGGGCAAGTTCGTACCCAAGTCTGAAAGCAAAGAAGCTATGAATGTCAACACATCACCTATGAAGTTCACGACGAAGGTGAGCAAGAAGCAGAGTACGAAATCCACTTCTTTTCACGATAAGCCGAGTGAAAAGTTGACTCTAAAAGAAATGCAAGAGAAAGAGTACCCATTTCTGGATTCTGATGTGCCAGCCATTATCAAAGAACTCCTCGAGTTAAATCTTATTGAGCTTCCGGAGATGAAGCAACCAAATAAAGCTGGGAAAACAAATGACCCAAATTACTGCAAATATCATCGACTTGTAAGCCACCCTCTGGAGAAGTGCTTTGTCTTCAAGGACAAAGTCATGGACTTGGCTCGCGAAAAGAAGATCGTGCTTGAAAATGAGAAAGCAAGCGCAAACCAAGTCTCTATCACCTTTCGCTCATTCAGTCCGGATGAATTATGTGGTTTTAAAGAAAGTAAAGATGAAGGATTACTGGAGAGCGACAAAGCTGAAGTCAATCAACCTGATGATGATGAAGGTTGGACATTGGTAACTCGTCGTAGGCACTACAAAAGGAGCCCACGAAAGGAATCAATAGAACAACCAACAAGGAAAATGATGGTGAAAAGACCAAGGAGATGGAATCCAGTTAGGCATTTGAAGAGAGAAAAAGTGGAGATGCACTATTCTCAAAAGGCACGAAATCCAGTGACCTTGGAGGATTTTTTACCGAGTTGGTTCCGCACGAAGATTTCCCATGAGGGCATTGATGCCTCTTGTTGCCATGCTGACAAAGGGGAAGAAAAAAGTGATGACCTACCGTTGGCACCATCTTCGGAAAAGCCCATCGAGTCCACTCCTCAAGAAGTTAATGCTTGTGAGGAAAAGGTCACATTCACAAATGACGATCTTTTGCTAGGTGACACTCCTCATAACCGCCCATTGTACCTAGTTGGCTATATGCGCGATGAAAGGGTAAATCGGATTTGGTTGATGGAGGATCCTTAGTGAACATTTTGCCAGTCCACATTGTGAAAGAACTTGGTATTCCCATGAACGAACTCTCAGAAAGTCGTGTGATGATCCAAGGATTCAACCAAGGGGGGCAAGGAGCCATAGGCGCGATCAGGCTGGGAATCACTATTGAAGATATGCAATCAAGTGCATGGCTGCATGTGATCGACGCGAAGACTTCATACAATGTTTTGCTTGGGAGGCCTTGGATACATGAGAATAAAGTAGTTCCATCTACCTACCATCAATGTTTAAAATACTACGAGGGTGAAGTCGAGAAGACGGTAGTTGCTGATGATGAGCCATTCACCGAGGCTGAGTCACACTTCGCCGATGCAAAGTTCTACTTGAAGAACCGCATTGTGAAGGAGCTGAAAGCTGATGATGGCATGAAAAGCAAGAATAAAGAGCCCTCAACTAAAAGAGAAGAGGCGACTACTGGTGAAGCCAAAGCTGTTAGTAAGGAGGTACAACCCAACGCGAATAATCTTATAGAGGGAATATTACGTCTTATGGAAAGAAAGTAAGTCCGGCGCTCCAATATGTCCCTAAAAGGAAGAAAGATGAAGGTCAATCATTTAATAGCCAAGATAACATGCTAAAGGAGTTAACTCTTCCNGGAGGCAATGAAAAAGAGAAAAAGACAAAAAGAAATACAAAAGTGAATAAGAACCGAAAAAGGGGATTCAAAGAAAACAAAGTGAAAAAGGTTGTGTAAAAGTAGAAAAAGGAGAAAGGTTTGAATTGCAAAAGAAAGAGTGACAATGTGTCTCTCTAACCCCTTGAAAGAATTGAAAGAAGTGAAATACTCAAATGAGTAAAAAAAAAGTATGCCATAATGAATCAAAAGAAGTGCTAAAGGGAAGATTGAACCTAAATGAACAAAAACATGTCC